CCCCCCCGCCAGAAGGGAGCGTCCCCACAGGCGGAGCCGGGGCCAGGCGGGGGGATTCTGCCGACTGCCCATGCGGCGCTCGCCCCAATTCTTGTTCACCCCCCGCCCGGGCGCGCGCCAGGACGGGTGCGACCGTAGGGGACCGCGACCGGCGCGAACTCCACGGCGTGCAAGCTGGATCGTGTGAACTCTGGCCCGAACGTGGGAGACTCTCCGAGCGCCGGCCCGGCGGACGGCCGATCGGCCCGAGACGCGGCCCGGTGCTGGGCCGGCCTTGCGCACGGTCATATATGACAGCCTGCTTGGCGCGCCTTGGAGGGTGCTAACGGACGGAAGGGGACCCGGGCCTCGCCATACACGCCCGCCTCGCCCCGGGGCAAGGCGTGTGTCGAGGCGGGCCGGGGGGGGGCCGAGGCCGGTGGCATGTGTGACCCCGGCGCACACGCGCATGCCGGCCGCGTAATAAGCATCGGCGCTTGGCAAAGGCGTGCGCTCGCACGTGCCCCCCGCGTTCCCGAGTATGCTACCCGGGCCCCCTTCGCGGCCGGGCAGCCGTTCTCCTGGTCCCGAGGCGCGCCTTCCTCGGCCCGGGGCATGGGGGGCACCCGGCCGCGGAGGGAGGGCAACTCTTCGCCGAGCGGCGACAGGAATAATCACACTTTTAAATAGAACCACAGCATAGCACCGCCTCTCCCCCCCCCCCCCCCCCCCCCCCCCCCCCCCCCCCCCCCCCCCCCCCACATGCCGGCTCGCGAAAAGGCAGACCACTCTCGCTCTCTCCCACACACACTCACACACCCTGGCAGGCAGAGAGCGCCATTTTAGCGCTCCCAACTCCGCAGTTCCCCCCCCCCCCAGGATTAGGGTGGAGGCGCGAGAGGGGGAGGGGGGCCTCCTCAGGGTGGGGCACAGCCACTTGTCCGACGGTTGGCCCCGGGCGAACGGGCAGCCGGCTGGCCGGCCCCCGCCCCTGCTTCCCGGGCCCAGGCCTTGCGCTTGTGCCCTTTCCTGCCCTCGGGCCGGTGTACATGTGTGGTGCTGGGCATGCGGCACCGGCCGAGGCGCGGCTCGCGCACGGCCCCCCCCCCCCCCCGCCGCCGCCGCCGCACGACCAGCTGCACTTCCCCAAGTCCCCCGGTTCCCCTGGGACCAGACGCTGGTCAATAATTCCGTTGCTCCCCCCCCCCCTGCCCCCGTGGCGCCGGTGTGCCAGGCCAAAGAATAATAACAAAAACGCTTTCGTACATGCCTGCCGTCCCGGGGCTCTCTCTCTCTCTCTCTCTCCCTCGCTCTGACGGGGGGG